CACGATGAGACAATTTTCTAAGTAGCCATATCGTTTATACAGATTGTCTAATTGTCCCACAATATCTAACACTAATATTACGAACTAAAGCTAAATACTAATGTTTATCTAAGACTAAGTATCAACCAACTAATAATAAATAACTGCAGTATTAGTCAATATTCATATTATCACATATTAAGCACTTGAAGTTTCTACTATGTGGATTTATTTAAGGAATACACAAGTGGAGGTTGTCTGTCGTACAATAAAACACAACTGGGAGAAAAAACCGCCGCGGCGCAGCCCCGAGTGGTTTATTCGCCCTGCAGTGTTTTATTGTACGACTTACAACGACAACGAGACGTTTATTTCTTATATGAGATGTCATCATTTTGTTCAGCCTTTTAAAGGATGTTAATAAATTGTACAAGCTTCAAAAACATTTACCCGTACTTAAATAATGATGACTCCCCGAATACGGTACAATGTCGGACAAGTCCATTTCACTTACGGGGGGAGGGGGAATTAAGTTTGGTATTCTCACAATTTTCAAGTCAATTATCTGCACCTTTTCTCCCAATGCCGTTCAGCCATTGCGTTCATCTGCGTTGTCCAGCTACATCCATGGGGATCAACTCAATAGGCAAGTCCCCCTAAAAAATAATGTCGTCGTCTTTACGACGTCATCAAGTTGCGAGCGCATGTTCGAATCTCTAGAAATGATGTCACGATAGAACAATGTTTTATCGTGAAATACACCACGCTTCGTTCTTCGTTGTTCTTTGCGATTTATCGCTAGCTATGTTATATAAGACTATATACAACATAACCTAGTGCGCACAAATACTAATAAATAAATATAGCTTGCACGAAAGCATAAACATGCAGTATAACTGTCAAAGATTTCCACAGAATGTTTGAATTAGTAATCTCGTGCAACGCGATGCCTTTAAACCGAGTAGGATATTTTCAAATTGATAGCGATCTACGATAGCGTTACCTATTTTGTTGATTAGCTTCCCATAAAGAAAGCAGATAGATAAGGGTACATACCTGTAAAAGATATAGATAAGATATAGAAACCATTGGTTTGTTGGTTGGTTTGTTGTTTAACGCCGCACGCAGCAATATTCCAGCTATATGACGGCGGTCTGTAAATAATCGAGTCTGGTCCAGACAATCCAGTGATTAATATCATGAGCATGAACCCACGCAATTTGGATTGATGACCGTGATATAGATATCATCAATATTAATTGATGTTCAGTCGAGGGAGTGGCGTGACAAAAAGTGACATATGAAAATGTAAGCGTAAGAGTGAGAGAAGAAGCGTACGTAAAAGGAAAAGGCGATAAGTCGTGGAATATTAAAAAAACTTTACATATATCTGGCGACATATTAAAATATACCTGAGAAGAAACCAGACAGTGCTCCAACTGCTGAAAACACTACTGAACAATATAAATGTCCAACCGCTCTTTCTGGTTGGTTGGTTGGTTTATTGTTTAACGCCGCACTCAGCAATATTCCAGCTATATGACGGCGGTCTGTAAATACTCGAGTCTGGACTAGACACTCCAGTGATTAATATCATGAGCATCGATCCACGCAATTGAGATCGATGACATGCATCAACCAAGTCAGCGAGCCTGACCACCCGATCCCGTTAGTCGCCTTTTACGACAAGCATAGTCACCTTTTACGGCAAGAATGGGTTGCTGAAGACCTATTCTACCCCGGGTCTTCATGGGTCTGTCTGGTACTACTATTGATTCATTCATTGACTTATTGAGTCATGCATACAAAATGGAAAAAAGGACGAATAGCGATCTGCTGTAGTTTGTTAGAATATGGGGTGACTAGAAGAGCAGGTGTGTCTGACAATTAACTGTCAAAGGGCCAGGGATGGCAAAATAAACTGATTCGTTTCGTTTTCCTTGAAAATCTAAAAATATTGTAAACGGTGTGAAAGGCAAGTTACGATGCTGATGAGGTTGTGATGCCAACTGAATATCATGTCTGAACGAACTGAATATCGTGCATGAAATCAGTCAGAAAGATGGGTTGATCACCCAACTCAACATTATGAATGTCACACTTTCATTATGATGCTGGGGCGGTCGGGTAGCCTACTGGTTAAAGCGTTCGCTCGTCACGCCGAAGACCCGGGTTCGATTCCCGACATGGGTACAATGTGTGAAGCCCATTTCTGGTGTCCCCCGCCGTGATATTGCTGGAATATTGCTAAAAGTGGCGTAAAACCAAACTCACTCACTCACTCATTATGATGCTGAAACATTGTGCTTGTCAAACTGCACTGGTGGTTAATCTACAGCCATGAAATCCGCCCTGTGATTAAGACTAAATCCATGGGAGATGCTGACTGTGCCTGAATTTGCTTGTACGACTGGCATGCCTGTTAGCTCCTTGTCAAAGTAGCGATACGAACACAACCCTGACGTGAGCCTGACTCACCAGTACGACAAGAACAGTAGGTGACGGAAAACTAAATTATTTCAGTAATTTCAACGTGAAACTTAATGTTTCATCGATGTAAGATAGGTACACATCGCAAAACGGAACAAAGTTGGACAATAGTTTGCCCTAAGATTTCATTTCCCAAATAATTCAGCGGTACATTTAGATAGTATTGTATGCATGTGATGCAAGGATGAGTCACTTCATCTTAAACGTTTGAATTCAATGCTTGTTGTAAGTCTTTGTTGAAGTAAAACTTATTACATATCAACAATTTTCATCATAGAAGGGCATTGAATATAATCAGATGCGGGTTTAATTATGTTCGAATACAGAAAATGCGTAATGGTCAGTTTGTCATATATGATTGAGAAGTTTTTTGTCTAGAATGTTCAGTACCAGAGACAGAAAACCATGTGCGTGTTAACAGCCCAATGTGTGATCTAGACCGCACTAAACTAACACATTTAAAAAACATTGATGCTTGTTTAGATTGTTTGTTGTGTAACGCCCCACTCAGCAGTATTCCAGCTATGACGGCAGTCTGTAAATAATCGAGTCTGGACCACACAATCCAGTGATTGACATTATGAGCATCGACCTAGGCAATCAGGATACGATGACATGTATCAACCAAGTCAGCGAACCTGACCACCCGATCCCATTGTATATGTATTATGGGCCATGTGGCATTGAAAGCAAAAGTGAACTTGAATATAAACATGACTAATAATATAATAGAACAATGTCACTTATTTTGTGAGACGCTCTTCAGTATAAACGAAGTATATGTGAAGACAATATAATAATCGAATGTCGTTACTAATATTCATGATTTCTATAATATATAAATAAATAATATAAGCGACAAAACTCCTCTCTACCAAAAGCAGAGTCGACTGAACTGTTCTGACCGTATCATTAGCATGTGTTTATGACTCACTATCAAATAGGTGTTCGCGGAAAGGTGAGCATATACTGTTCCACGGGTGGCACCCGTCACAAACACACGCAAAGGCAAGCCAACGGTTCACCCGAAACAAACAAGGGAACATATGACAATTCAATATAGGGCACTGCATCGGAGATAATTTCTGTCAGCGATGTCAAATCTTTAAACGTCCCCTCATGTCTGTCCTTAAAGGTTTTGAAAGTTTTACTGAAACCTTAAATGCTGCTAAGACTCTCTTTGAAATCTTCGTAGAAAGAGCATGCTCGATTGAATATCACCTCAATATGTATGAATCGAAAAACGATATAATTATGCGTGTCGCTTCTTATATTCATTTTAAATTTCATGTTTCGAAAGTTTATTGAACTCAGATAAGTCTTACATTTCTGATATAAGAATTAATTTTGTTCAGTAATGTTGAACAACAATAAACGTAACACAACAAATGTATTGGGTTTTAATATCACCTAGATAATACACCGGTTTAATTCAAACACTAACCATAATCCTTACTACAACCAAGAAAGCACTCTCTTTATATTCATAGAAAGTATTTGAGACAAGTGGAATTAATACCATGTGGATTCTCAAAAACTCAAAGATTTGCTTCACAGAAAAGAACCAAGTTCCATTCTGTCAAAACATTTAATTTTTCAACTTTGTTCACTTCTACCCCACATGACAAACTTAAAGAAAAACTTCATTCTTTGATCCATGGGGCTTTTGTTACAATACGTGGTGACCACAGATAGAGTTACGTATCTATATTCAGAGGTTCAGGACAATTTGTGAAAAATGAAAGCCTAAGTTTAACTTCAGCTTCAGGAATATTGATAATCTGATATCGTTCAATAACAATCAAATAGTCAACTGCCTTCCATTGATTTATGCACCTGAATTACAAAACACTCTCCACAAGAATGTATGACAAGAGGGATGACTTCAACTTTCCAATAGTCAACTTTCCCATCATGTCGAGCAATATTCCAGCAGCTCCAGCCTATGGTGTTTACATTCACAACTTTTGAGATACAATGGAGCATGCTCTTTCTACCAAGATTTCAAAGAGCGTCATAAGACCCTTCTCACACAGAAGTTGTCTGATCAAGGTTACAACATCCAAGGCCTCGGTAAAGCTATCAAACGGTTTATGGTAGACATGTGGAGGACATTTCCCAATTTGTTGCATCAGTGACAAAAATTATATCCGATGCAATTTTTAAAATGTACCGTATGTTCCTTTGTTTTTCAGGTGAACAAATGATTTGCCTTTGCATGCGTTTGTGATGGGTGCCACCGGTGGGGCAGGTTACACTCACCTGTTCGCGAACACCTGATATCGTCACTATTTCATTGTGATTCATAAACATATGCTCATGATATAGTCGGAATCGTTCAATCGACTCTGCTCGTAGCCGATATTTCTTACATTGAAAACAGTAGGTTCATCTCCTCAATATTCACTGCTCCATCGCAGAGTATCTATCCCGCATTAAGGTTAAAATCACGTCCACACATTCATTATGCAATTTAGAAAAAGATATTTTGATGAAATCCTATTTCACATGAAACGTTTTTTTTTTTACAGTTTAAGCAAGCACAACTGAATACATCGCAACAACTCGTATCATGAGAAAAACGACGCCTTTCTTCCTCTTGGTGGCATCCTTCCTGCTGCTGTTGCATGGTAGCCGGGCTGACCATGAGCACAGTCATGTACAGAATGACATTCCTGACCAGCCTCATCTCAAAGAGGAAGTAAAAGAATTCAACAAGCAGGTTGTGAAAACGCCAGAAGATGATAATAACATAGGGCAAACTCCTGTTGGAAAAACAATTATCTCTAAACAAGCATCAAGTGATATCAGAAAGAACAGTTCACCGAAACGACGTGAAACTAAGGTTACCCGCCGACATCTTGCCAGAGATGATACCCGACGCATGGATCGCGGCTCTGTTTCTTCTGAAAGACGTGAAACCAGCGACACACGCCGACAACTTGCCAGAGATGATACCCGACGCATGGATCGCCGCTCTGTTTCTTCAGAAAGACGTGAAACCAGCGACACTCGCCGACAACTTGCCAGAGATGATACCCGACGCATGGATGGCCACTCTGTCTCCCTTGAACGACATGAAACCCGAGATACTCGCCGACAACTTGCCAGAGATGATACCCGACGCATGAATCGCCGCTCTGCTTCTACTGAAAGACGCGCAACCCCCGATACTCGCCGACAACTTGCCAGAGATGATACCCGACGCATGGATCGCCGCTCTGTCTCCCATGAACGACGTGAAACCAGCGATACTCGCCGACAACTTGCCAGAGATGATACCCGACGCATGGATCGCCGCTCTATCTCCCTTGAACGACGTGAAACCAGCGACACACGCCGACAACTTGCCAGAGATGATACCCGACGCATGGATCGCAGCTCTGTCTCCCTTGAACGACGTGAAACCCGTGATACTCGCCGACAACTTGCCAGAGATGATACCCGACGCATGGATCGCCGCTCTGTCTCTCTTGAACGACGTGAAACCAGCGACACTCGCCGACAACTTGCCAGAGATGATACACGACGCATGGATCGCCGCTCTGTCTCCCTTGAACGACGTGAAACCAGCGACACTCGCCGACAACTTGCCAGAGATGATACACGACGCATGGATCGCCGCTCTGTTTCTTCTGAAAAACGTGAAACCCGCGATACTCGCCGACAACTTGCCAGAGATGATACCCGACGCATGGATCGCCGCTCTGTCTCTCTTGAACGACGTGAAACCAGCGATACTCGCCGACAACTTGCCAGAGATGATACCCGTCGCATGGATCGCCGCTCTGTCTCCCTTGAACGACGTGAAACTAGAGATACTCGCCGACAACTTGCCAGAGATGATACCCGTCGCATGGATCGCCGCTCTGTCTCCCTTGAACGACGTGAAACCAGCGATACTCGCCGACAACTTGCCAGAGATGATACCCGACGCATGAATCGCCGCTCTGTCTCCCTTGAACGACGTGAAACCAGCGACACTCGCCGACAACTTGCCAGAGATGATACCCGACGCATGGATCGCCGCTCCGTCTCCCTTGAACGACGTGAAACCAGCGATACTCGCCGACAACTTGCCAGAGATGATACCCGTCGCATGGATCGCCGCTCTGTCTCCCTTGAACGACATGAAACGCGGGATACTCGCCGACAACTTGCCAGAGATGATACCCGACGCATGGATCGCCGCTCTGTCTCCCTTGAACGACGTGAAACGCGGGATACTCGCCGACAACTTGCCAGAGATGATACCCGACGCATGGATCGCCGCTCTGTCTCCCTTGAACGACGTGAAACCAGCGATACTCGCCGACAACTTGCCAGAGATGATACCCGACGCATGGATCGCCGCTCTGTCTCTCTTGAACGACGTGAAACCAGCGATACTCGCCGACAACTTGCCAGAGATGATACCCGTCGCATGGATCGCCGCTCTGTCTCCCTTGAACGACGTGAAACCCGAGATACTCGCCGACAACTTGCCAGAGATGATACCCGACGCATGGATCGCCGCTCTGTCTCCCTTGAACGACGTAAAACCCGAGATACTCGCCGAGAACTTGTCAGAGATGATACCCGACGCATGGATCGCCGCTCTGTCTCCCTTGAACGACGTGAAACCCGCGATACTCGCCGACAACTTGCCAGAGATGATACCCGGCGCATGGATCGCCGCTCTGTCTCCCTTGAACGACGTGAAACACGCGATACTCGCCGACAACTTGCCAGAGATGATACCCGTCGCATGGATCGCCGCTCTGTCTCCCTTGAACGACGTGAAACTCGAGATACTCGCCGACAACTTGCCAGAGAAGATACACGACGCATGGATCGCCGCTCTGTCTCCCTTGAACGACGTGAAACCAGCGATACTCGCCGACAATTTGCCAGAGATGATACCCGTCGCATGGATCGCCGCTCTGTCTCCCTTGAACGACGTGAAACCAGCGATACTCGCCGACAACTTGCCAGAGATGATACCCGACGCATGGATCGCAGCTCTGTCTCCCTTGAACGACGTGAAACTAGAGATACTCGCCGACAACTTGCCAGAGATGATACCCGACGCATGGATCGCCGCTCTGTCTCCCTTGAACGACGTGAAACCAGCGATACTCGCCGACAACTTGCCAGAGATGATACCCGACGCATGGATCGCCGCTCTGTCTCCCTTGAACGACGTGAAACCCGAGATACTCGCCGACATCTTGCCAGAGATGATACCCGACGCATGGATCGCCGCTCTGTCTCCCTTGAACGACATGAAACCCGTGATACTCGCCGACAACTTGCAAGAGATGATACCCGACGCATGGATCGCCGCTCTGTCTCCCTTGAACGACGTGAAACCCGAGTTACTCGCCGACAACTTGCCAGAGATGATACCCGACGCATGGATCGCCGCTCTGTCTCTCTTGAACGACGTGAAACCAGGTATACTCGCCGACAACTTGCCAGAGATGATACCCGACGCATGGATCGCCGCTCTGTCTCCCTTGAACGACGTGAAACCCGAGATACTCGCCGACAACTTGCCAGAGATGATACCCGACGCATGGATCGCCGCTCTGTCTCCCTTGAACGACGTGAAACCCGCGATACTCGCCGACAACTTGCCAGAGATGATACCCGTCGCATGGATCGCCGCTCTGTCTCCCTTGAACGACGTGAAACGCGGGATACTCGCCGACAACTTGCCAGAGATGATACCCGACGCATGGATCGCCGCTCTGTCTCACTTGAACGGCGTGAAACCAGCGATACTCGCCGACAACTTGCCAGAGATGATACCCGACGCATGGATCGCCGCTCTGTCTCCCTTGAACGACGTGAAACCCGAGATACTCGCCGACAACTTGCCAGAGATGATACCCGACGCATGGATCGCCGCTCTGTCTCCCTTGAACGACGTGAAACCAGCGATACTCGCCGACAACTTGCCAGAGATGATACCCGACGCATGGATCGCCGCTCTGTCTCCCTTGAACGACGTGAAACACGCGATACTCGCCGACAACTTGCCAGAGATGATACCCGTCGCATGGATCGCCGCTCTGTCTCCCTTGAACGACGTGAAACCAGCGATACTCGCCGACAACTTGCCAGAGATGATACCCGACGCATGGATCGCGGCTCTGTCTCCCTTGAACGACGTGAAACCAGCGATACTCGCCGACAACTTGCCAGAGATGATACCCGACGCATGGATCGCCGCTCTGTCTCCCTTGAACGACGTGAAACCCGAGATACTCGCCGACAACTTGCCAGAGATGATACCCGTCGCATGGATCGCCGCTCTGTCTCCCTTGAACGACGTGAAACCAGCGATACTCGCCGACAACTTGCCAGAGATGATACCCGACGCATGGATCGCCGCTCTGTCTCCCTTGAACGACGTGAAACGCGGGATACTCGCCGACAACTTGCCAGAGATGATACCCGACGCATGGATCGCCGCTCTGTCTCCCTTGAACGACGTGAAACGCGGGATACTCGCCGACAACTTGCCAGAGATGATACCCGACGCATGGATCGCCGCTCTGTCTCCCTTGAACGACGTGAAACCAGCGATACTCGCCGACAACTTGCCAGAGATGATACACGACGCATGGATCGCCGCTCTGTTTCCCTTGAACGACGTGAAACCCGAGATACTCGCCGACAACTTGCCAGAGATGATACCCGACGCATGGATCGCCGCTCCGTCTCCCTTGAACGACGTGAAACCAGCGATACTCGCCGACAACTTGCCAGAGATGATACCCGACGCATGGATCGCCGCTCTGTCTCCCTTGAACGACGTGAAACCCGAGATACTCGCCGACAACTTGCCAGAGATGATACCCGACGCATGGATCGCCGCTCCGTCTCCCTTGAACGACGTGAAACTAGAGATACTCGCCGACAACTTGCCAGAGATGATACCCGACGCATGGATCGCCGCTCTGTCTCCCTTGAACGACGTGAAACCCGAGATACTCGCCGAACACAATATAGTGGTTTCCAAGGTCATGGATTAGTCCGTGTCTCCGTCCAAAAAGTCATTTCTAGAGCCCGTCTCTCCCATCGGATTTCCACCCTACAGAAAGGTTCGACTGAATCACTATCTCCACTGCAACCCGTCCAGCATCAGCTATTGCATGAACCACTCCATGAACAAATAGACCAACACACGTGAGTAAACTTACTAGTGACAAAAACCTGTCATTTGGGGACGTATGAGAATATGTATGATTACCCTGTGCTAGACAATCCAGTTCATTTACTTCAAAAGACTGATAAGTAAACGACTTCGAATCACCATTGTTTCTTTCTCTTGCTGCGAACTATGAATGTTTTGTATGCTCAAATACAAATACATGGGTAACAGGGGCCCATTTGAAGACCTCATGGAAAACATTTTAATATGAGAAAGTTCGGGAGCAAGTCTATCCTCTCTCTGAGAAAGTCAGGATTTTAAAACCTCTCGATGTAGTATATAATTATACTTCTCAGCCAAAGGAACACGTCTCTTTATAGCTGCTTTCTATTCAATGTGTCTTTTTTGTTAAATACAAGAATTGCCCTTTTTCATGTCTTATGCTTTAAGTAGCGTCCACCCTCGTTCTTCCAGTGCGGGTGTCTTCATTCCAGTATCATTAGAAACCGCCGTCATTTAGCTGGAATATTGCTGAGTGCGGCGTTGAACAACAAACAAAAAAACAAACAAGCATTAGTACCTTCATTACCATTTACCACCAAAGTGACATCACCATCTCTTGGGTGGCTCAGTCGTCTAAGTTGAGTCCCTTGGACACGCCAGAAACCTATGATCATGGGTTCGAATCCCGGTTTGCCCCGTTGTTTTTCTAGCTTTGTCAGCACCATATCTGTGCTCATGGGTTTCACCAAAGTGGTTCACGTCTGAGACCTGTACCACTTTCCTCCCACATTAAGCTGATACGCCGTGATATAACTAGAATATTGTTCTAAGCGGCGTAAAACCCAACTCACTCACTCACTCATAACATAATAGAGATATAACACACTGGATAATCGAATGCACAAAAGGCACAGTATTAGGAGTTTATTCATGTAAACACGCAGCTAGAGATTAGTCACTTTAACATTTCAGTTCGAATTCCCTATTATAATCCTTGGTCTGTGACAATTCCGTCAGGGCCGCCTCCGTGGTCTAGTGGAAAAAGCGTCTGCCCGGAGAGAGGATGGTCAGTTGTTCGACCCCCTGGCCGCGTCATACCAACAAACGTTAAATGACGTCACTCGGCGTCAGTATAGCATGCCTAATTAGGGTACACCGAGGCATGGCATCTCAACATGATAGCACTATAAAACCGGACTAGTACAAGTAGCATCACACACACACACACGCGCACGCACGCACGCACGCACACACACACACACAAATACACATACAAACACACACGCATAAACACACACACACACACACACACATTTCGCTATATGAGTGAAATCCCACCTCAACTCATTCAGTCAATGTATTTTGCAGTTTCAGCGAGACAGACGCCTCTGCAAATGAAAACGGCTACTTTGGACTCCACATCTTAGCGTCCGTCTTTCAGGTACGTTCACAGAATCAAGTCCATCACATCAAAATTAGTCACGTGTATTTGCATACCTACAATTTTGCTACAAAGTTCGTTATTTCTCAAGGGTAAAATGAGTCCGCATTGTATATTGGACTAAGAGGCCTTACAAGAAATACCGTTTTAGGGTTTTAGCTGCCATGAATGCCATGAATGATAACTAAAGGGTATTTACACTGAAAGATGGAACACGGGTCAAACACAATGGATGCCACAAATTAATATAAATCTGCAATCACCATTACTGTAACGCACAATAGGTCGAGTCCCCCTTTTCTGTTGGCCCAAAGTGTGTTGGGTATAACTTGAGCCCAAAAGATGCGGCACAGTACTTTGAAGTACTTGTCCAGCCGTCCGTCTGTGAGTGCGACAAATATCATTCATAGAAAATATTTTAAAGTTTCTTTGATTCGATCCCGAAATACACAAAAAATAAACCGAAACGTGACATACAATTATTACCTTTGCACGATGTTGTGTCCAACAAATAAGGAGTGTAATCATTCTGTTTCAGAAAACCCAGGAGAAAATGCTGTCATCATCATTGTTTAACGTACTGAAAGGAAAGGAGAACATGTGAGTACTATACGGAATGCTTTCGTGTCATGCTTATTATCTATTTTATTTATGCAGAAAAAGGGTTTGGGATGCAAGTGACGAAACATTAAACTATATTTCTACAGGCAAAATTTGACTTAGTACAGATGATCGGGAGATAAGCATACTGTGTTTTCAATGTAGAGCGCGTCGTCAATACTAATTTTGTCTCTGTTTTATTAATTTAAAGTTTTTAACTCATCAGCATCAAGGCCAGTGGTATGTGACGAAATGTAGGAACCAAATCAGCTTTGATTACTTCGTGTTTCGACCCGTGAAGATTCCGGGGTAGAATAGGTCTTCCGCAACCCATGCTTGTCGTAAAAGGCGACTAACGGGATCGGGTGGTCAGGCTCGCTGACTTGGTTGATGCATGTCATCGATCCCAATTGCGTGGATCGATGCTCATGATGTCAATCACTGGATTGTCTGGTCCAGACTCGATTATTTACAGACCGCCGTCATATAGCTGGAATATTGCTGAGTGCGGCGTTAAACAACAAACCAACCAACCAACCAACCAACTTTATGTATCATCATGATTAAGGTAGTTGATCCAAGATACGTACAGCTTTCTAAGGCAGGTATTTTAGAAAATCAGTATTTTATACATGTTTGTCTAAAATGGGCAAGTTAATAAAATAATGCGAATTGGAAGTGATTCTGACACTTTAGCGTTCAAATGTCATAACAATTTGTTTCAAGTTTACCGCAACCTAACATGGACCACTTGTCCGGTGTGAAAACGTCCTTAATTCATCGTCTGTATTATTTCAGGTTGCCAGGCAATGACTCCATAGCACGTGCAGTAATTCTTGGAATGGTTGGTCTCCTAGCAACAGGTTCCGGAAAACGTAATAAAATGGAAGCTTGAGGAATAATCCATTGTGACCAAAAGACTCTTAGCTTCCGTCTTTGTATAGTTCCCATGCAGACGTGCGATGGTTGTGTCTTTGGGCACTGTGTATTTCGACGCATTCACCATCGCATTTGCACCACAAAACCGCAGGCAGAGATGTCCAATTATGCATCCACAGATGTAATGTTGACATAATCGTGTGTTACATCTTCACTACCCTGCAATAGTTCTTACTGCTGATGTCAATAAACGACTTGAGCGTTTCAGAAGAGCGATGTGGCTGTCTTCAGTCAAATGCCGTCGATGTTCAAAACATACAAAAATATTTTTTTACAAGACACGTTCATCAACCTATGTATTTTGTATAAGGGAACATTGATTTTTCAATGAAAATTTCTTTTTGCCACAGTTTGTATGCAATAAGTTTGTTATTGGTCTCACTTGACAAAAGTTGAATTGCCAACCCTTCAAAGACTGGAATAACCATTTTGTGAAGTCTTAACAGATCATTTTCCACTTCAAAAGAGATTACGGTTTTGTAATAATTCACCCCCTCGGTGGATGCCCATGCATTAGGCTGACGTTTATGATACACATACATTACACTGACATTGGCTTATCTTGGAAGTATGAATTGTTGTCTGTATATAGCCCAGCATTTACTTCCCAAACCTTAGTATATATCTGTATATATAACGTAATAAAATGTTGAAATAATGATACCGGATTGTGTTTGCATTTCCTCTTTCAGATTTCGTACAGTAAAATACCCTGCCGGGCAAAAGTGAGTGTACACCCATGTTTGATGGTGGCTAAAAATGAAACAAACAAGAAATAGTTTTTCGATGGTGAAATATTTGATAGGGTGCCATAGATGTGTTTGGGATCTTACGTTTTCAGTGATTCGACGAATGTTTCACCCAAGTAACGTTTTGATAACTTTTGTATTTTTGTTTGTTCAAATCTAATTTTTAAATGTATTCTTTCTTTTTCCCGGCACTTTGTAACCTTTGTAAGTTTAGTTAGGTTTGCCATTGGTGATTTCACCTTGAAATGATGACTGTGGGTGAATGCGTTGACGGTTGATAAATACAAGAGACATAAAAACAATTTCACAATAAGAGGAAATCTCCCCTGCACAACAGGTGGTACCCGTCACAAACACATGCAAAGTCAATTGTTCAACTTAAAAAACATGAGAACATCGCATGTCTGCCGAAAAACATTCTGAAAAGGCCTTGAATGTTCAAACAACTTTTGAGCAAGAGTCGTATGACACTCTTTGAAATCTTCAGAGTATTGCTTGGGACGTATTCCAACGTATTCATGTGCTTCACTGAAAATCAATGTCATCACCATATTGCTTTGTTGACGAGATCTAGAATTGGGTTAGTTTGTTTGTGCGTTATGTGTTTTTGGTTTGAGAAGTTACAATGGCATGAGTAATAGTTGGAATGATGTACACACATTTTAAAAAAAAAAAACTTTATCTTTATCCCACATATGTATAGATACGAAATACTTAAATGATTTTGAAAAAATATATTTAAAACACTCCTAACTGTCAATTATTACACTAAACATGTTTGTGTTATTTGGCAACCACCACACGAGTGAGGCACGGTCTGTCCTAGACTGGTTTTACCTGCCCAAGAGCGCTTGCGCTCCTCGGGCTCGCCTGCAGACAATAGCAGCCGAAGGGTAGGGTTACAGTCTAGCTCTTTCCGGCCAAACATAATTTCGCTGCGCTGAAACGTTGACCCATTTCCGCGTAGCGAGGTATTAGCACTTGTTGACAGTGTGAATAATTGACGTGTCAGACTACAGGAGTAAACATATGAACATTAGAGAGGTATCTATCTGTGAGAAGTATGGTTTATGCTTAACAAAACCGCACTCACAACGTTGTGGGTTTCAATTTTAACAAGTGCAAATTAAAATTTGGTTTACCTCCTGTGTTAAACAATTGCGCTTCATGACAGTAAAGTCATCTTGGTCTACGTTGATGTGACAACTGCGATCGGTCTTGCGGGATAAAATTACTCCCCTTCATTTTCAGTCTATCCTTGGGGGCACGGTGGCCCAGTCGTCTAAGGCGCTGTGCAGAGTTGCGTCCCTTGGGCACGCCAGAAACCTGTTGTTGTGGGTTCGAATCCCGGTTCGCCCCGATTATGTTTCTAGGTTTGTCAGCACCATACCCGTACTCGTGGGGTTTCGATGAAGTGGTAAACGTCTGAGACCTGCATCACTTCGGGCTTTCCTCCCACATTAAGCTGACACGCCGCAACTGGAATATTGTTCAAAGTGGCGTTAAACCCAACTCACTCACTCACTCTTACTTTCAAACAAACCGTGTATCATTGTTGCAGAGTAACAGGAAAACCATGAGTCACATTTCCCCCCAGTAAAGTTTGAATTATTAAAGCGTTTTTTTCGATAAATCCATTGTCTTGGACGCTTCTGTGCTTTTAGTTCTGGCATAACTAGTGTCACATTATGACAAAAGGCAGAACATAGCAGTTCTGTAAATTGTAGATATAGTTTGTGTGGACATCGTCAGTAAATAAATATGACAAGGGGTTAGTTTGGTTTCAGACGGTTTGCAAAGTATTTCAGTTACAACACTTTCTTTATCCCATTAGGGATTCGAACTCACACTGCCAGAGTGAGGTACCTAAACGCCAGCACACAGAATCAGCGATCTTACCCACTCAGACATCGAGGATGCCCAAAGTCCGACAACTGGTAGTCTAGATCACGTTCTTTGTGTACCCCTCTGACAAGTGTAGACTCTGACAGTGTGGGTTCGAATCCCGGATGGGACTCAGCCCAAAAAGTACGAGAAGAAAGTGGTATCCCAAATATCACATTTGTTACAGGTTACAGTCAGACAAAACTGGGGAAACACCATGAATTTTCATGTCGTCCTGGCCTGAATTTGATTGCATTTCTATCAGTTGAAGCTTATTGCCAGACTGGGGGATTAATGACGATTACTGGACGATTACTACACTTGATGTCCATTCAAAATGAAAACAGAAGATATACAGTGAACTGCAATCCGACACTGCTCTGGGCCAGGGGAAAATGTCGGATTAGACAAATGTCGGATTAGATTGAGTTTCATGGCTGAATGCAGCAGTTTATTCAACAATTAGTCTGTAATCCAGTCTATCAGTTAAGGAACCAATAAAGGATCACTGTAGATTAATATTTGTTAAGGGTTAACTGAGCGTTTATTGAAGGTTGTAAACTAAATAGTTGCACTAATCGTCAAGTAAACAGCGTCGCTTTAGAATAGAAAAACAACACGACCACAACTGAGTGTCTATTATACAGAGTGGGACCTGTGAAGATCCGGGGTAGAATAGGTCTTCAGCAACCCATGCTTGCAGTAAAAGGCAACTTTGCATGTCGTAAGAGGCGACTAACGTGATCAGGTGGTCAGGCTCTCTGACTTGGTTGATGTATGTCATCGTATCTCAATTGCTTAAATCGATGCTCGTGATGTCAATCACTGGATTGTCAGGTCCAGACTCGATTATTTATAGACCGCCGTCATATATCTGGAATATTGCTGAGTGCGGCGTTAAACAAACAACCAACCAACCAACAGAGTGGATTTGTTCATCGGACCACAACGGATTTCGGATTGGACAGATGTCGGAGTACTCAGAGTTACTTTACATTGTTTGAAGCTTGTCATATTCTAATTTTTGAAGCCCTGAATTTTACATATACATCCTATGACAAATCACGAAAATTTGATGATATGATACAAACGCACACACACAGACACACACAGACACAGACACACACACACACACAGACACACACACACACATACACACACGCTGTGTCACATATGGCAAGCTAATTATCCTATCGATTGTATAACGTTATACATGTGCATACAAATCCAGTAGATATATATTCTTGTCGTTCGGATATTAGGCAGCATTTTAATTTGTTCACTCACCGTTTCCGAAAAGCTGTTAATAATAAAACAAATTGTCGAGCAGTGCTTATGTCGATGTACGATAATAAGTCAATCTCATTAAAATCAGATCTTAGTTTTCGCTACCGCTAAACAAAGATCTACGTTTCGAAACATATTTTGACGTATTCTCGATTAAAATTTTAAAACTGATAAGAAGAACATTCTGGAATGGCTTTTTGATGGCCTTGATTGTATGGATATAATCATAAAACCCGTAACTGTCGTTCGGAATACCCTCTGTTAAATATTTCGTGGTTGCATGATCAGAAAAACACATTCCGACTGTCACTTTTATGATCTGGTAAGCGACGCTCTGATTGGTTGGATGAAAGGTCGTTCTGACGTGACCCGTAATGGGATGTCCTCAGATCTTTGTTTAGCGATAGCGAGAACAAAGATCTGATTTTAATGAGATTGGATAATAAGTGGTAATATTTGTTTTTGTTTTTTTACGCGTACCAAAATCTCAGACAACGCTCAGCAGTGCCTCTTTTTCAAATCGGTTTAATATTTGCAGTTACATTTCCACCACAAAATCAGACAGGAAAGTGAAAATTTCAAATCTCTGGGTAATTTTATAGTCTGAGGTTGATACAGTGCCGTGAGAGCGCACAAAACTTAGCCTTCACCTTTCAGACGTTATGAAAATGACGTATATATCTGTGCACGTCGGCATGCCGTTATCATATATACTGCGGAACAAGCCGATTAAACTAGGAATGTTTTACAAATTGCAGCGCTACCTGGTGTCTTCATTGTCAACGTGTTTTAGCAGTTTAGTGTCCTTTCGTGAGCACTGACGTTCTTTGGTACACATTGTTCTTTCTTTTCATATGACGTCTTTTCGTAACATTTGACTATTATATTGCTTACTTTTGACCTTTATTTGAACTTTGTATTTTTTAACCGTCGTCTGTTTGTTTTGTATTTTGACCTTTATTAGTAACATTTAATACTTTATTCGTAACATTTGACTATTATTGCGTACTTTTGTCCTTTATTTCAACTTTGTATTTTTTAACCGAATGGCCGCCCATATAATAAATCTCTTTAAAAAATCACTTTCAGCAAGTGTCACACAGTAGACAAAATGCATCCCCCTCAGCTATCTCTGTATGTTGTACACGGGGGCACGGTTGGACCAGTCGTCAAAAGGCGCCGCGATTCGCGTCCCTAGGGCACGCCAGAAACCTATGATTGTGGGTTCGAATCCCGGTTCGCCCCGATTATGTTTCTAGGTTTGTCAGCACCATACCCGTGCTCGTGGGTTTCACCGAAGTGGTAAACGTCTGAACCTGCATCACTTCGGACTTTCCTCCCACATTAAGCTGACACGTCGTGATATAACTGGAATACTGTTAAAAGCGGCGTTAAACCCAACTCACTCACTCACTGTATGTACAATATCTGAACATTTACATGTGGTTACATTGGTTTACTCTAGTTAAAGAAGTGGATTAAAATGTATTATATTTTATGGTGTACCATATGCCGCGTACGCGTGTTATAGTAAAACGTATTTTACACTACTAGTATCTATATACTAACCATTTTCAACACGAAAAACAGTATCAAACATTAACTTTGTTTGAGACAGAATTTTGTTTTCACGACCGCTTCAAGGCATACAATGTCTTCCTTTGAAAGGACAAAACGTTTTGGGGATCCAAAGCATACC